ATATTGTTTACAAGCACGCGTTTCCAATTTTGTATTTTACATGTCTAAACCCATATATACTAGTTAAAAAAATAAAAACTTTTCCCACATTTTTCGAAATGGATTTCCCGTTTCGATGCCCAAGTTACTCGCCTAATATTCTTTAAATCAGTCGCCATTTTTTAAAGCAGCGGTTCTGGAATGGTAGACAAGGTTCATTTTACTTTTAATAATATACAAATTCGTAATTTACATTCAAGCTTTCGCCTGCGATCAGGTCGATTTTTGGCCATGGCTCCAGGGCTATAAGTGTAATGTATTGGGTAATTATCTAATTTCGTAGGATTTTGGAGACTCTAATTCTATAAAAAAAGGTTAAATAATTTTTTTTTCACGATTAAGATAAAGACTGGATTCTAATGATAATGGCTGAAAATCTCTTCACATAGATCAGTATAAATGGATATCAGTATCAGTATAAATAGTGGCGTCCGGTCATTGCAGAAAATACCTTTTTTATGGAAGGAACAGTAAATGAACCATATTGTATACAAACTAATATAAAATAAATTCAAGTGCTTGCAGAATATATTACAATGGAAATAGATTTGAAGATGTAAAAAAGAAAGCTGCTAATTGTCCTCATCTCGATTCAAATTACCAGACAAAGACAAGAGGTTATCTTCTTTATCTGGGTCAGTGTTTAGTTAAATCGTTCCCACAAGAGGGCGTTGTATCCTCATTTGAGTCCGTTGCCACGCTTTTAAGAAGGAAGTCTTTGGCAAGCAAGAACAAGACAGAACTAAGGATGTTAAAAAAATAAAGAAAGACAACTGAGGAAGAGTTTCCGGTCATTTCGCATAAGATTATTATAAATGTCACATGATGAATGAATCATATCGTTTATTTCTTTATCTGATACATCCCTACTTATTGATATATCGCCTATATTTATAATGTATCCTTATAGTCCGTGTTACATACCCCTTTTTATCAAATTATAAACATCCGCCTGAAACTTTGTGAATATCTCCATCTCATCGTAACCTAAAAATATATTATTAAAAAAAATTCTCAGAATTATGGCGTTTTCAATCTGGAAGACACCAAACTTAATTTAATGAAGTACTAATGATGCATGTGTTTTTTCTTAGTTTTAATTTTCTTATTTTTAGATTATTTTATTTTATTATTAATTGTATACACTTTTGATTATTATTTTGCTTCTATTTATTTTATATTTTTTGTACATATAGTGTGAATGTTATCCTACCACTATCACTATCACTATAACTAATGTCCAAGAGACCGATTGTTTTAATACTCAATAAATAAACAAAAAGTAAAAAAAAAAAATAGGTACTAAAAACTCGTAAATACCCACTTGTTTTCCACACGAATCGTACGTAATTTGAGCATAAAATCGAGAAAAAGTTGCCCTTAAAAAAATATTGATCCGTTTGGCGTGACCTACACCCCCAAATTCTCAAAATAACGAGGTTATATAGCACAAACGGCCCAATACTTTTAAAGGACACTTCTTCTTTTTTTTTTTTTTTCAATTTTGTGATAAAAATATCTTACGATCCAAGTGGAAAGCAAATGGATATTGGATAAACTGGAATTGCCCCAATTCCAAGAATTTTAGTAAATAAAATATTTGTAGGTTACGATAAGATGAAGCCATTTACGACGTGTCCGGCGGATATTAATAATTCGACAAAAAGGAGGTCTGTACCACGGAGTATTACTTTATAAATTTTATTACATATTCATAGTAAAGTATTACCTTAATTGTTGAAAGATATGGAAGTGATAAATTAGCGTGTGTTCAACTCACCTGAAACAAAAAAAAAATGAAGAAATAAAATTAAATAAAAAATTAATATCAAATTAAGTAATTTGCTATATTATTATCTATTAGGTATATTTCCAATAATTTTTATATAGTATTGTCTTATTTTAATACCCATTGTTTATCATTAAATTTACGAAGACGTGCTCCAACGCTTTTTAAAATACTAACAATTAAAGGCTGCCAGAAAAGCCAACCTCAAAATAGTTTTAAAATGAAACCCCGTTTGAAAAAAAAAGCTAAAACTCCTAAATAATTTCCTATGATATAATTCAAATTGGAGGTTCGGGAAAAAAACATTTAAAAAATTACATTTACAATCTGATCGAAGAAAAATGAATGTTTAGGAGGTATCAAACCACAATGCACAACGTGTTCAACCTGTGCTATAATTTTTGATTTTTTTTTTTTACGCTTCACGTTAAGAAAGTTTTAAATTTTACAGAAAATATTACCAAGAATCAAGGAGACGATCTGACTAGCGGTCGAGAATGACCTCTAAGAGGAACTATTTATTTAATTATTTATAAACTTATTAATAATCTATTTAATTATTTATGAACTCATTAATATTTTATTTATTTATAAACTAGTCATTATTAATAAACAGTTCATACTATGTAATCTAATTCTCAACTGCCAATCGGATCATTCTAATTTTCCCAAAGCTCAATCATTAACACAAACTAGAATCCTTATTTTTTTTACCGGGAATAGCTAACGAAAAATGGGAACCTCTATAATCTGCAAAAATGTCAAAAAGATAGGTCAGTGTTTTAGATATTATTGAATATTTTTTTTTTTAGAGTTGTAGAAAAAAAGATACATATTCAACACAATTTGAAAATCAGTTTTTTTCCTGAATCAACTTAATTTTAAACTTATAACACAATAGCGGAGTAACACAATAATTTGATAGTTCAGTATAGTATTTACTTTCTTATTAAAGATTTGCAAGCTTCATATCTTTCAGTTAAACGATTGCATGTTTTCAAAATACAAATAAGTGTATTTGTAATATTTATTAAAACATTTTTCTTAAATAAAATTATAGAACTCAGACAAATTTAGAGGATTACTTTTTTAATTTTAATTCCATTACGAACTCAAATTCGGACTATACGACGATAACAAAGCGGAAAGACACATATACAATGTGAAAGATAGAATCAATGCAATACATAAAAAAGACATGATACATAAAATTTCTTGTATACAATGTCCCAAACATTATATTGGTGAAACATCGCAAAATTTAAGAAACAGAATAAAACAACACAAAACTAACGTAAAAATCCAACATAAAATCCACAGTTTTATCCAATAACAGCATATTAAATAAACATACATTTGATAAAAACAATATAAAAATTTTAAACATGGCACAAAACAATAAAATTACAAAAACCTTATAATCAATTTATATTTCTAACGCAATCAATTTTAAATCTGATGTTAAAAATATATGCCAACACCATGTCCATAAATTATACGAGATAAATAAATTTTTAATTAGATAATAATAATAAATAATAAACATCAACAGAACTATATCCCATTCAATCATTTAGTTAATTCCTACTGGGACATACAGCCCTACAGTCAATATTAAAAAGAAGACGAATGAGATAGTACCGTACGGGGTGAACATACAGTTGAAATAAAACAAAATAGTTATCAATAATAGAACTCGTAAAACTTCTGAAATAATCGCATACAGAAGGAATCAATAAATGCGCAAACATTTAAGGAATATTGGGACGAGGAATATGATTATCTTTGGTATTTGATGTACTAATAATAGTTGTTCAATGGAATTATAATATTAAAATACATTTTAGTAGATAAAAAAATGTTTCTTGGTAAGTCCTCACTTTTTATATGACTTGATAATGGGAGATAATAGTTGTAAATTATGTTTGTTTAATTGTTATCTGTAGATGATTAGGTAATGAGCTAATGAGCTCGAATCGTCGTTGGAAATAGAATAAAAAAAATAATGTAAAAGGGCTTGTATATTCCTTGAAGACACCATTTATTTAGGTACAGGGTGTTTCAGGGTTAAGTGACCAAACTTAAAATATGAATTAAGGACCTCAAAACATGAAAAAAAATTTCCTCTGAAGGTATATCCGCAAACGCTTTGTTTAGGAAATATTCACACCTAAAGAATTTCATTGTTATTAACTATTTACGTTATATTATGTAAATACAATTTATTTATTTGGTTCAACTAATTTATTAATTAAAGGTAAACATTAAATTGATATTAAATGTTGTTCAAAGTGAAGGCAGGTCCACGACAATGGCTAAATGTTAATTACCTCCATCAATGGATTGGCAGTGCAGAACCAGTTGCTTGTTGTTGAAGAAAGATGGCGAGCCTGCCTTAATGCTCAAGGAAATCACATTAAATAACATTTAATATGAATGTTAATGTTTACATTTAATTAATAAAGTAGTTAGAACAAATAAATATTTTTTATTTATTTCATATAACGTAAATAATTCATAATAAAGAAAATCTTTAAGTGTGAATATCTTCTAAACAAAGCGTTTCCGGACATGCCATCAGAGGATTTTTGTTTTCTTGTTTTGAGGTCCTTAGTTCACTTTTGCGAATTGGCCACTTAACCCTGAAACACCCTGTATAATAATTTAAATTAAGTTTCTGGCTCTCTTTCTATAATGAATTATGATAATTACCAATTTCAGCAGGAACTCTTTACTATGGCACACCCAAGTCTCTTAGATGTTATTAGCTGAGTGAGGATGAAATGAAGAGGCATTATCAAGAGCTCATTCATGAATAAATTTAAATTCCAGCTACTTAAACGCTATGAGTAACTAACTTTATATGCCTCCATCGAAAATTCCATCTACAGAAAAAACTAAAACGGTCTGGAATTACTAATGGGTAACCCGCCTTCTATTTTTGAGTTACTTTCGTCATGATCCATTTTTAATACCTGATGAACCAAAGCGTTGGGAGGCAATGGATCCCACTTCCCATGCATTGTATATTTTCGGTGTTGTTATTTTCTCAAGACGTTACATTGGAGAGGACCGACAGATCAAAGACACGCGAAGTATCCTTTAAAACTATAATAAACTAAAATAGAGGGTGCCAGGGAGGGATATTAATAGTCTACAGAAGAGGTTGCTGTTAGTGTGCCAGCTTGGTTGGCTGCTGGAACCCCGAGCTAATCTTAGCCAATGCACCTCCGCATGTCGCCTCCCGCAGATCGGCGGTGTAAGATATACTTCCAAGGATCGGTGGACCCTAAGTAGAATTATTAGAATTTCTATTAAAAAAAAAACATTAGTAAGAGAATATTTTTGTTTCTAATGTCAACTGTCTATGCAAAGTTATTAAGTTGTGAAATAAGGTCAACTTAACAGGGCGGGATTTTTTTTTTATCTCAGGAATATAATAATTATAATTATTGATCAGAAAATACATAGGTAACAAGAGACCAATAATTAATTTGATTTGCACATTTCTTAAAGCGCTTAATGTGATCAGAAATGTATTAAATAGTGTGGTCCAAATGCAAGAGTCTCGCAACAATCTTGCAATTACCCATTAGCCTATTACTATAATTTTTTAGACATGGGAAACCTAACTAAGCCAGAATGAAAACTTGGAAGAGTTAAATGCAAAAGTAAATTGTCAAGTATTAGTAACTATTTATAGCCCGTGGTACAGACTTCTTTTTAAGGAATTATTAACATCCGTCAGAAACTTCGTAAATAGCTTCATCTCAACGTAACCTACAACTATTTTATTTAAGAAAACTCTAAGGATTGGGACGTTTTCAATCTCGAGGAGGGCAAACTTTGTCTATTTAAATTAGGTACTAAAAACTCGTAAATACCCCTTTGTTTTCCACCTGAATCGTAACGTAATTTGAGCACAAAATCGATAAAAAAAAGTGGCATTCAAAAATATTGAGCCGTTTGGCGTGACCTGCACCCCCAAATTATCAAAATTTATATTGCACAAACGGTCCAATATTTTTGTAGGCCACCTTTTTTTATCGATTTTGTGATCAAATTATGTTACAAGTAGAAAGGAAATGGTTATTTACCAGTTTTTATTACATAATTAAATAGACAAAGTTTGTCAGTCTCCAGATTGAAAACGCTCCAATTTCAAGAGTTTTCGTAAATAAAATAGTTGTAGGTTACGATGAGATGAAACTATTTACGAAGTTTCAGGAGGATGTTAATGATTCGATAAAAAGGGGTCTGCACCACGGACTATTAAGCCTTAATTTTTATTCACAAAAACGATTTTTTATTACCAGTCAGACGGTCATGGTCTTGGTCTTGCAAAGTGCAATACCAAGATAGATTTTGGGCTACAATTGCTAGAATTAAATAGTTGAAGGAAATAAAAATATCAAAGCTTCTGAACATGACAAATCAATCTAATATTCAATTACCATAATACTTTGCTAACAGAAAGTAATTGAATAACTTTTAAAACAGGTTGGCTATATCGAGATAAATAATTTACGAAGACAAAGGTGTCGAAACACTCGCCCGGGAAATGATATTCTAAAAATAAACATTGGTATTTTACGAAATATTCTTAACATGAACTCCTTTTTTTTATAAATGTATAAAAGTAATATTATAATAGTAATATAAAAATATAAAAGTAAATGGGATTTACAGTCTAGATTTGTTTTATTCAATTTACGGATGTTTCGATCCGAGCATGAGAGGACATCAACACTACTGAAAATTTAAAAAAAAAATAAACAGAAATTATACATTTAGTTAAACGGACAAACGTTTTAGTTTCAGGTATATCACAACTTCGTTCTATCCATTTTTTATCTTGATTCTGGTAATGGTATTATTAGAGAAACTAATTTTTTAAGCTGACTGAGAGGCGCTGGGATCTCCTTGATTCCTGCCTCTCCTTTCATTGGGTAGAATGGCTTGACTCGGAGTTTCCCTGAATGAATGAATTTTGTAAATATTGTGTAAAAGTTTAAAAGGTTTGTATTCAAGTTGTTATTTTTTTTATTGTATGTTTATTATCAAGAAATATTACTATCAGTCTCAATTAAGGTCATTTAGAATAGTGTTCAGTGAGCATATTCAGACTCTATGTACAATAATTAAAAATAAATTAAACATCAAAATAATACACCTAAAACTAAATGTATATAAACAAAAAACAACTTCTAAACAAACATACTTTTACACAATATTTACAAAATTCATTCATTCAAGGAAAACTCCGAGCCAAGCAATTCCACCCACTTATGGAAGGAAAGGGAGGACCCGAGGAGATCCCAGCGCCTCTCAGTCAACTTATCAAATTAGTTCATCTAATAATATATTTAGTTTATACTTCCTATAATACATCGAATATATATTTAGTTTTAGTTATATTACTTTGCTGTTTAATTTATTTTTAATTATTGTACATATAGTATGAATGTGCTCACTGAATACTATTCTAAATGTCCTTAATTGAGACAGATAGTAATATTTTTTAATAATAAACATATAATGAAAACAAAAATTGCTAAGTATCCTCAAAGGACTTCTAAAAATGGTATTCTGATGAAAAGTAGGATTCGAACTTTTCCACCATCGCAATCCTTTCCCTTAGTATAAATTTCATACATAGGAAAGAGACGTAAGTAGATAAGTCAGAGCATGGAAAATATTATTAATAATTGGTGTAAAAATATATAAAATATTTTTATTTATTTAAAATTATTTTATACACATGTTGAAAATACTTTAATATATTTATTTGAAACAAGAAAATGAGAGAGCAGGAAAATATCCAATTATAAAGATAACAGTAATCCTTTAATTCATTAGACTAAAAGGTATTTAATTATGCTATTTTCGTTTATGTGACGTTCTTATGAATATTTATAAAAAGATATACATCTGTATAGGAATATACATCTATATTCCTTGTAACATTTTTAATTACAAAAATTACACATTATTAGAGTGAAGTATAGACGAGAAGAACCAATAGTTTAAATACAGCGCAGATATCAAAGCTTGGTGCACCTAGAACGACCTCGAATGAATTTAATACGCGCGAACTGAGATCTCAAGGACAGCACGTATCAAACCGTAATGTTTACGAAGTTTATTACGCCACGCTTAACTGTTACGGCAACGTAAATAGAATCGGTCCATCTAAACAAGGCTCCAAGGTTTGGAACGGTCAATAAATAAGACAGGATAAACAAGTGTGGTGACCTCCAACCGGGCGGGAATTGAGGAAGCAGTCAGGAAAGTTAATGGCAGGTAAGGTACTGGTTTTGAAGATGAGTTGACTGGCAGGCAAGAGCATCCATTTCATTATTGAAGGGACAGCTAGTTTTTAATTTATCTCAGCAAGTTGAAAAATTAGAAAAGAGCGAGTTTATTAATTAAATCGTCAAATTTTCTAAGGGTATTTTTAATTAATTAATGAAATTATTAATTTCAAGGAAGTAACTTATGAAACCCTTTCACCTCCTCTCAATGCTTCAATTCATTTTATTTATTACGTTTCAGGCTTTGTCCATTTTCTAGTCGAACTTTTTATATAAAATATTACAATACATTAAATATCTATAAAAAAGATGTAACAGGACATACACCAACAATCTATGAAATTTCCCAAAAATGAATTTAATGAAAAAAATGTCTACTTACATCCTTATCTTATTTTCACCTTCTTCCAATAATTATTTCATAACTATTTATGAAAAGTCCATTCCACAATTTTTTTTTTTATTGGTAGCACTCTAATAATATATTTACGTAAGTAGATCAACAGGCCATCTTCTTTTCAGACGCCTCGGAGTGATCGAGGAAGAAGCAGGGTTTGAAACGAGGTTAAAACGTTCGGATGGTTCTGGAGTTAGTTATGGAAGGATAGGTATCAGGATTGGGCCAAATCGGAAACATATGGAACATTAAGGTATTAAGGATGTTTTTATTTGTGACAAAGTAAGGAGAGTTGAGGACTTTACGAAGGATTTTGGATTTTTGCTGTTTCTTCACTAAATAAAATTTTCTGCGAATTTTTCGCACGGGCCAACTTGTTACAATATTATTTAATAATTTATACGAAAAAAAAAATGAAATAATAGTAAAATGGGTATTAAATAGAATAAAGAAAATTAAAATTGCACTGAAATAAAATAAATTGTCTTAAACTCGTTCAGATTGGTGTACAATATCTACGCAGTCTTGGGAAACCCAAACTAAGTTTAGCACCCACAAGTAGAGGACTGAGCCAAGAGTAGAGTAGACCAGTAGAGAGAGGTTCCAGTTACAAGAAGAAATGCTAATGTTCCTCTTTCAGCCACGTTACTGGAATTAAAAGAAGGTGGAAGCCGATAAAGGCCACTAAAGCAGAATGGAAAAAGCTCGTCATTATCATAACGCCAATAAACATATTTACATAAGCCTTCGGGACAAGTGCGATATTACTCAAGAAGGATTTTGAATTAGGATGACGAGTGAATCATGTAAGTTTCATTATTAATTATTAATTTAATTTTTGTACCTTATTTTTATTTTTTTATGTTAATCTATTATTTTTATTCATCAGTTGTACTACATGAACAAGGAAACCTTACAGTCTATATATAATATATAGAAGGCAGACCTCTCGAGTTTGGACTCTGACTCCGGGGAGGATTACTATCTCGAAGACATTCGAGTGTTTATGGCGCAAACAGTACAAAGGTCCGCCGATCAAAGGGCGATGCTGTCTGAGCGAACAAAGTGCAATAAGGATTGTATAACCAAGAATAGATCACATCGAGGATATTGGATGGTTAGAGAATATATGTAAAAAAAGATTTTTTGAGATTGTGAGACCATTAGAAGTGGAAAATAAAAATTACAATTATAAATTAAAATGTAAAAGCTAAAAAAATAAGAAAATAAAACTAAAAGACGAAATGAATATAAATTAAAAAATAATAGAACAACAGAAAAAATAGTATCAAAAGCAAAAAAAAAACAAAAAAAACTTAAATAAATTAAATTAAAAGTTTAATAAATTTAAAAAAATTAATATGGAAATAAAAATAACACTAATTCTGAGAAAATTATTTTTATTAATAATAAAATCAGGATTTCTTATTAACGGTCCATTCTTAACTGGAATAAAAACTTATATACATGTTTGCCAAATCATTTCATCAATAAAATCTACTAACTATCAATTCCACGTTTTGTAGAAATTATAGACATTAATAACAATAAACTAATGAAAAGCATAAAAAAAGGATTTGTTCTAAGGTTGAAAAGTCGTAATAATAACATTTTTGCGGTGTAATACAGATTTATTTTAACCAGGAGAACAATCGTACGTTCTTTCCTCAAGGAATATCAACATTAAGGAAGAAACATTTTTTACCGTTTAGGTGACAAAGTATTTTTTTTTTTATTTTTTTTTTACTGTCAAGCATCTTCAGAAGTTGAAAGAACTCGAATCTTGAATGAGAATTTATCGCATACGTATTAATAAAAAAAGACATAAATAAAGGAACTAGACCATATCGATTAATTACCTAAAAGATAAAAAAATTTCAGATGTTTAAATTGGAAAATCCTTTTATCAGCAACCTGCCCATCAGGAATGGTTAGTGACATTTTATCTTTAGGAATATCCAACAATATGATAAAGCTTGATATTTTATCGGATATCAGGAAGAATCAAGACTAATATTAAAAAAATATATGTATATATATATATATATATATATATATATATATATATATATATATATATATATATATATATATTTATCGAAACACCAATCACGAACAATTATATTAACTAAAAATACAAGTGAATGTGAATTGTTATAATGAGCTGGACAGACTTTATAGAGATACTATTCATCCATAACATTCCAATAATAGTATCTACATATTACCTCTTAGGTCTCCAGGCCATCTTATTTTCAGACGCGAAGGTATATATTGAAGAATCGAAGAGTATGCAAGGTTAGAAACTGGTGTGTTTAGATGGATTTGAAGTTTATTATGGAAGGGTAGGAAACTTTACTACTAGGAAACATTACGGATAGTCATTAGTGACAAAGTTATGTAGGTGATTGAGGATTTTGGATTGGAATTGAGAGGAGCTTGATTGTTTTGAGGGACCCAGAGCTCAACTCCTAAAGTTCAAACAGGGATGGGTTATAGTATAGACTCTATGCTATAGAGGTTAGGGAATATTAGAGTCAAGTAAAGGAGTAAGAAGAATGTAAAGATTGAAATAGTGAATAATTTGGGATTAGAAATTTAAATAGTAATAATAATAAATTTATTTTTTATTTTTTTTTTTTGTCTTTACATCTTCATCCGCACCTGTCATGGTAGTGACAATTAGCAGATTTGCTGTTTAAATTGAAAATTACATGATAGGCATGACGAAGAATGGAGCCCAGCAGCACCTCTTCCCTGGCCTGTTTACATCCTAAAATCAGGAAAGGAGATCTCTCATCCAGCTCCTTTTCAGTCGCCTCCTGATGAGCATTTCAGCCGTGGCCATGTCTTTGATAAGTCCATTGTGATGTGCGTGTAGTTTTAGATGAAATCGGGAGTAAAGAGTACGTATGTGCTGGTCAATGGTTGGTTGTCTTAGGTCGGTATGTAAAGTCTTATTGTTGACGTACCAGGGAGCTGCAGTTATTAGTCTTAAAATTTTAGATTGAAAGGATTGTAGTTTTTGTAAGTGAGTCTTTTTTGCTGAACCGTAAATCTGTGAAGCGTATGTCCAAATGGGTTTGAGCAGGTAAGTGCATGTATTTAGTTTTTGTCTAATTTTCAATTTTGATTTAGAAAACAGTGAGTACAGTATTTTCAGTCGCTTGTTCAAACTCTTTCTTTTCATTTTGACGTGTGGGCCCCAGGTCATCCTTCTGTCAAATATTAGTCCGAGGTAGAGTATACTGTCCGTCTGAGGAATTGGATTGTTGCTGATATAAACTGGTGGGCATGTTTCTCGTCGAAGCGTAAATGTTATGTGTTGTGATTTGTTATGATTTAATCTAATTTTCCAGAGTGAATACCAATCTTGTAAATTTAGGAAATGATTTTGTAAATTTAATGAGGCTAGTCTGGGGTCATGGTGTTTTGTTAAAATTGTTGTATCGTCAGCGTAAGTAGCAGTCAATGTTTCAGAGTTGGTAGGCATGTCATGAGTATAGACAATGTAGAGTAAAGGTGCCAATATTGATCCTTGAGGTACCCCTGCTGATACTGGTCGAATTGAGGAAATTTCTAAACTCTGTCGGACAGAGAAGAATCTGTCGAAAAGGAAAGATTGGATAATGAGGTAATATGTATTAGGCAGTATAGTTTTGAGTTTCAAGAAAGTCCCTGGTGCCAGACTTTATCAAATGCCTGGGCAACATCCAGAAATACGCCGGTAGCATATTGTTTTTGCTCTAGCGCTCCTGCAATGTAGTCAGTAACTCTGTGTAATTGGTGTGTAGTTGAATGAAATGTACGAAAACCGAATCGATGGTCAGGTATTATTTGTTGGTCTGTCAGTATGTCAACCAGTCTTTTGTATGTTAATTTTTCGAAAACTTTGGAGCATATCGGAAGGAGACTGATAGGTCGGTAGGATGAGGGATTGAAAATGTCTTTGTCCCTTTTGTGTATCATCTTGATATGTGAGTATTTCCATTGTAATGGGAAGTTAGTTGTCCTCAGAATACAGTTGTATATTGTCGTAAGGAACACTAGAGCTTTCCTAGGCATTTGCTAGAGACCCTCGGTAGTTATTAAGTCATATCCTGGAGCTTTTCTTTTTGGGAGATGTCTGATTTGTTGTGCGACTTGTGAAGGTGTGAAAGGAAGAGGGGAGGTGTCATCTGTAATGGTATGTCTAGAGTATCAAATACTAAGGTTTCATATTCTGTGTTCGTGAAGTCGGTAAATGGTGTAAATACTGATGAAAGATGGTCTGCAAATAGTTCGGATTTTTCTCTATCCGACAAAGCCCATGAACCGTCTTCATTTCGCAGGGGTACTGACACCTCTCGATGTTTTAACAAATTTTTGGTATGCTTCCACAAACTTCCATCGTCAGTTGATATGCTGCTCAAATAAGCATCATAATTCGTTCTGTTGAATTTTTGTATTAGTCGTTTAAGTTCGTTATTTAGTCTGTTAAATGTCCGTCTATCTGAGGGAAGTCTGTTAGTCTGCCATACCTTACGTGCTCTCCTCTTTGCCGTGATCAAGTCCCTTATATATTGAGGATATCTTGGCAAGTGTTCTGCTCTTGATGACCTTGGTAGCGATGAAGACCAAGCTGCTTTTTGGACACTTTTTGTAAATTTGTCCACTGCCTCTTCTAGTTCATCTGCTGTTTTAATGGAGCCAGGGATTGAAAGTTCTGAATCCAGAATTTCCCTGTAAGCATCCCAATCCATTTTACCATTAAGGAGCTTAGGTGTTCGTGGAAGATTGATGGGCTCATCAAGGATAACCAAATGTATAAGGGAATGGTCAGAGCAAAGATCAGAGCTCGTATTTATGGTGTAAGGTATGGTGCGCAGTCCTTTGGTTATAAAAAAGTCTAGTAGGTCTGGGGATTTACGTTGTGAAGTCGGCCAATATGTCGGTGTATCAGGTGATATAGTGTCTAATGAAAGCTCGTGGATAGCCCTCAGATTCTTCCTCTTGGTGTGCACAGCCGTGACCCCCAAAATTGGTGCTTTGCGTTAAAGTCACCGCCTACTATAAAGCAACGCCCAAGGCTTCGAAAATAGTTGCAAAACATCGAAGGTGTTAATACGTACCTCGGAGGACAATATACTGAAGCTATTGTTATTGTGTGATGTTTGGTGTGTAGTGTTAAGCCTGTGGTTTGAATGTCAGGTGTAGTAGGTAAGTATAAGGGATTATGTGATAATGATGTCTTTATTAGTATTGCTGTACCACCATGAGCTGTGTTGTCCGGATGGTCTGTTCTGTAGGTATTGTAACCAGAAATATGAAATTTAGTTCGTGGTGTAAAGTGTGTTTCTGTTATCATTGCGATGTCAATGCGTTTTTCGTGTAAATATAAGTCCAATTCTGTCCTATGTTGCGTTAGTCCGTTTGCATTCCACAGAAGGATGGACAGGGAGCCTACAGTTAGCTGATTAATGGCCATTAGGAAGACACATGCCTTGTGTTATCTGTGAGAGCTGTTGGAGGAGACTAAAAAGGGGCTGAATGAGAGTATTCAGACCATTCAATAACTGGAATAGTTGTGGAGACATGCAGTTTTCAGCTGAAGGTAGCTGGGTACTTTTTCCCCTCATGGTTGCTGAAGGTTGAATGTTTGGAGGTACTGATGATGGAGGCAGTTCCTGAGCTTGCGGTTGCGTTTGCTTCTGTATTGGCTTCTGCTGTTGCACTGGAGGTTGCTGTTGGGGCTGTTGATGATGCTTCTGCTTTCGCTTCTGCTCTTGATATGGGCTTTGCGAAGGTTGTGGAAGATCCGGGAAATTATGAAGATTTGCAGATGGAGGTGATTCCCTCTGGTGAGCATGATTCCTCTTGGTCCTCTGTGCCTTAGATCTCTAAGGTTTGACACCCCCGATAATTGGCCGGATGTTCGCCTAGACAATTAGCGCATTTAGCTGGAGTTTCTCTAGTTTTGCTACAAGTGGAACTGTCATGTCCTAGTCCACATCTGACGCACCGTGGTGCGTGGTTGCAATACGATCGTGTGTGACCGTATTGTTGGCATCTGACGCATTGCGGTATATGTTTCTTCCTTCTAAGTTCTTCAATTGTAACCTTTGTATAAAATAATTTAGTAATATCGAATATTTTCTCATTGAAAGTTTCCTTACTTACATCTACAAAAAACATAGGTAGTGGCCGTTTAAAACGTGAGATGGCGTTGGTAATACCTACGATTTTGTATCCGTATATTTCAAGATCTTTTTTAATCTCTTCAATTGGTGTATTGTGATGAAGGTCTTTAATCACCACGCGAGGATTTCTATCCTCAGGAAGCTGATAAGTATGAAATTCGGCTCCGCTGTTTTTCAAGCAGTTAACTATTTGCCTGTAATTGTTTGGGGTCTGGGGGTAAATAGTTACTCCCTTAGAAGTTGTTTTTAGCAAAAAGGAATCTGGTCCTGAATTGGATTGTAAATACGACACAAGAGCCGCGTAGTTTTCGACACCGGTGATGTAGATTGGGGGTGGATTCTTAGTATTATTAGATGGTGGATTAGCAGAAGAAGTTTGACATTGGTCATTAGTACTAGATAGAACCTGGAAACTATTGCTAGTAGTTACCACTACTTCCTGTTTTCAGTAATGTTTCGTTTTCTTCCTGTTACCAGTTCCCATGCTCCTCTTTCGTTGCCTGCGCACGGAGCATTGTCGTAGCAGTCCATACGAGCCGCAGCTTGGGCTGCCTCGGCCTCTTTCGTAACAGCGGCTGATTCCGCCTCACTCATAGGTACTTCGAATCTAAGCTTCAATGTTTTAGTTCGCCTAGTTATTTAGGTAAAAATAACTCTTAATCCCGCAGTTATTTCCAAAATTTTTATAGACGAAAACAATTTTAACTTTTATAATTCCATATAACCTGACATTATTTAATTTTCAACCTTCTCTAGATGTAAAAAAAAAAATGAGATTTTAAACAAATATATAATAAATTTATAAAATTGTTTAAAAAATATATATTACATTTGATAAATATTATTAACACAAGGTTACTACAGCTTTCATTTCATGATTTTTTTCTCATAGAATGCTTATTTCTAGAACAGGCAATTATAGAAAAAAAAAAAAAAGAGATTAAATTTAGTTACTAATTTAACACAATATTGAACGTTACTTAATTTTGTCAAAGAATTCAGCATTATTTTGTCTTTGTTACTTTGATTATCTTTCCAGTCAGCGTTTAAAAATAGGTCCTAGCAAAGCAATTTGTACAAATATTTTGGTCTATTATGTATAAGAAAAAAATATTAATTTCTTCCTTAAATAATACATAGGAACTACTTATTTCCATAATGTTTTGCTATTTCTTCACTAAATAAAATTTTCTGCGAATTTTTCGCAGGGGCCAACACAATCAGCACAAATAATATTTATAATTTTTTTTATATCTGCCTGCCTTGGGCTATTTCTTTCATTTATCTGCATGCAGCTCTATTGTGTCTTGGTTGACTTTATCTACTCATCTACTTTTTGGCCTTCCACGTGGTCCTTTTCTCCTATTCAGGCATTCATCGTTGCGTAGAGGCTTCCAGATGGATTACTACAAGCTACATCTACATGCCCCGCCCATCTTAACCTCCGTGCTTTCATATCATAGTATATTGAATGATCAGTTTCTGTAAGCAGTTCTTTATTTCTTCTCCATGAGTTATTACTCTTATCCCAGATCGCTTTGGTAATCGTGCGGAGAATTTTTCTCTCAAATATTTCAGCACTTTTTTTTTAGGGTGCTAATTAGTTTCCAGATTTTATGGCTATAAAATAGAACTGGCTTTATCATAGCATTCTGCAACCTTAATTTCAGGGTGTTGATGATTTTGATGCCTTTGAAAAGGAGAAGAAAGCTCTTGTTTGCGCTAGTTTAAAAATAATATATTAAAATATATACACTTTTTTACTCACAATTCTTAACAATGATAAAATAAACAGCAACAGACTTGCAGATCTGGCTACCCCTGAGTATTTAGTTGCATTCCTATCTCAAATACCGAGCACCGATAAGATTTTATGTCCAGTGCGTAACAATGAAATGGTCTTTACCCTATACATTTGATTTATTAACATAGAAAAAGATATAACAACACAGCGATTAAAGAAATGGTTTGTTCAAGGATCGAACATTAGACATTAAAGGAGATACGCATATAAAATAAATATAAATTAGCAAGATTAATTAAAGATTTATACAGAAGAGAATATTTCCATATTCCAATTTTAGCTAATACTGATATCAGACATAATGCGAAGAAATCTTGGGAAATGATTAAAATACACAGACGCAAATGAATCATTTTTCGACTTAAAATTAATTCAATATGACCATGGTTATAGCAACAAAGATTCCTTAGTAGAACTCATCTGAATTTAGCCTCTGATGACAATATAAAATATAATTTACTGTCACAAGTATGTTTGATATGACAAACAAATTGATTGACAATGTGATGGTTGATTGCGCTTTTCTAATTATTTAACAAAAAATTACCTTTTGTAATATTCCCTGCCGGGGTTTGGATTGGCACACCTCAGACTCCGAAGAACAGCGATCTTGTTCTCGTTCAGATTGAACGTTCTCCTCTTCGTGAGGCCTAACATGGCATAAAACTTCATCTTATCCATCATTTTCGTTCGAAGTGTTCGCACGCACAAAAATAAATATTTAAAAAATGTAAAAGTTTACATGAACATAACTACACTTAGAGGTTGAGTGGACAAGTGGCCAGTTGGGAATGGATTCACCAGTAAATACCTACCAGACCCTTTTCAGGTACTTGTACTGACCCATCCCCTCCTATACAATTTGGGTATAGTAAACCTCGATACCAAGTACTAAACGGTAGCAGTAGAAAAAAATAAAACTTAAACTACTCTAAAACTATTTGCACACAACTTATGATAATGCTTAATGTGCTACCATACTTAACAGTTAGAATGAACAACCCCTATGTGCTTACCAAGTTGAAACTTTTGAAAATTTACTGATCTTAATTATTTTATTTTTATTTATTGTATGTATTTTTTTATTATCATCTGGTCCTTATTTTGCTACTGTTTATTTTATAATATGTTTATACAAGGTGTTCGGTAAGCAGAGAAATATTGGTAGGAGTGATAGCAGACCTTAAGAGTAACAAAAAAAAAAGTTTATATAAACATCGGTCCGACGAAAGAAAAATTGGAAACGTTTTATGTTTTTTTAAGTAAGTCATGTTTTTTGTTGTAATTAAAGTAATTAACAAGCTTCACTGTAAACTATACATAATAGTCCTTGGTACAGACTACTTTTTATCAAATTATTAACATCCGCCTGAAACTACGTAAATACCTTCATCTCATCGTTACCTAAAACTATTTTATATACGAAAACTCTTGGAATTAAAGCATTTTCAATCTGGAGGCAGGCAAACTTTGTCTATTTAATTAGGTACTAAAAACTCGTGAATACCCATTTGCTTTCTAGTTTGATCATAAAATCGATAAATAAGGCGGCCTACAAAAATATTGGGGACGTTTGTCCAATATAAATTTTAAAAATTTGGGGGTGTAGATCACGCCAAACGACTCAATATTTTTGAAGACCACCTCATTTCCCGAATTTGTGATCAAATTATCTTACGATCAAAGTTCAGTTATCTTACGACGTTTCGGTCCAAAGTTCAGGCCTTCATCAGGGCTGGTCAGAGGAAAAATAAAAAACCAGTGAATATAATATATTTATTTTTACATTTTTTGACCGAACACTCCAACTATATGATGGACAGTAGTGGACTTAGACTATCAGCTTGCTTGACGCCTTCAAAGAACCTAAATGGCTCCAATTCAGATCTGTTAAGCGGCACTATGCTCTTGGGATCCTGATAAACCGATTTGATTGGCTGACATCCGTTTTTCCAGTAGAGCATTCCCGAGCTCATGGCGAGGAATCGAATCAAATGCAGCCTTCAAGTCCAGGAATGCTAAAATTTCCCTCTTCCTCAACAACAGTTTTTAATGAAAAAAATATGATACTGGGTTTGCACCAGTCTAAAGCAGGGCTCCTTCTCTTCCAGATCATGCTCCACCAATATCGTAAGCCTCTGTTCCAATATTATTGTATATAATTTATATACTACAGAGGATAGGTATATTGGTCTATAACTCTCGCATTTTGTCTGGTCGCTTTAAAAAAAACAACACAAAACTTAAATTTCAAATTTTTCTGTCGTAAATTGGTCCAATGTTTACATAAACCTTTTTTGTAACTCTTAATGTCAGGTATCACTCTTATAATTATTTCCCTCAACTTACTGGACATCTTGTATATTATTGTTATTATTATTATACAATTTTGACTATATATATAAGTAAACAAATGATCCATAACAAACAACCTATTATCAAGAGGAGCTGTTATTTATCAGTGAAAGGAATTCCCCATCCAATCTAATGATAACTTCATGAGCTCACGTGCCACGAGCACGGAAATACTAACACGCAAATGCCATGAGAGGAATGATCTCAAGTCAAGAATCGCATGACTGCGAAATTGTTATGGTGGAGTTGGGTGGGCCAGAAACAACTTCAAAGCCTGTGGCCATTTAGCTTACAAATATTAAAATCAGCAGTCCACTAGACATTTTAAATATGATGCGAAAACGACAAAATATATATAAATCATAAGACAAAATGAAGTCCAAGCTGCAAAGGCCAGTAGGTAACATTTTATTACAGACATCAGTTTTGAGATTTCAATCTTGGTCTCACAGTTATTCAGAATAAAAATTGAACAGAAAATATGGTTAATATAAGAAAAAAAATATATTGCTTAAAAAAAAAAAGTCTTCTTTTTATTGTTATGAATAATTTTAGTTCTGGGATCACAGGTTTTTGGAACGTGTTGTCAATGGTACAGACTTTTTTTTATCAAATTATTAACATCCGTTTTGATGTTAGTGAATATTTCCATCTCATCGTAACCTACAAGTATTTTATTTTAGAAACTTTGTCTATTTAATCAGGTACTAAGAAATCATGAATACCCATTTGCTTTCCACTCACAAAAAAAAAAAAAAGGCGGCTTTCAAAAATATTGGGCCGCTTGGCCTAAATAACCTCGTTATTTTGACATTTTGGGGGGTGTAGGTCACGCCAAACGGACTAATATTTTTATAACCACCTTTTTTCTTTTTTTCGACTTTGTAATTATATTATCTTACGATTCGAGTGGAACTTAAATGTGTATTCATGAGCTTTTTAGTACATAATTAAATAGAGAATGTCGATCTTCAAATTGAAAACGTCCCTATTCCGAGAATTTTCGTGAATAAAATATTTGTAGGTTACGATGAGAAGGGAAGCTATTTACATCCAACGACATTTCGAGCTTATTAGCTCATTATCCGTTCATCTACAAATAACAATTAAACAATGATAATTTACAACTCTGGTCGCTCATTATTTAGTCATTCAACAAGTGAGAACTTACCAAAACATTTTTTATCTACTATAATGTATTTCAATACATAATTTCATGAACAACTATTTGTAGTACATCTAATGTCACATATCTTATATAGGTCATCATATACTTTAAATGTTTGCGCATTAATTGATGCATATTCCTGCAATAAAAATATAAGTATGTAAGCATGAATAATGAATATTATTGTTTTATTTAAACTGTATGCTAAACCCGTAAGGTACCTACCTCCTCCGTCTACTTTTTAATATTTACTGTACATACATACTCTAGGGACATACATCAATTAATGCGCAAACATTTAAAGAATATGATGACGAGAAATATAAGATCTGTGACATTTGGTGTATTACAGATATTTGTTCATGAAATTATATATTGAAATACATTACAGTAGATACAAAAATGTTTTTGGTAAGTTCTCACTTGTGTAAATGTTGTAAGTTCTCCTTAACTAGATAAGGAGCGACCAGAGACTTATCTTTGCTTGATTTTTATTTGTAGATTACTTCATAATGAGCTAACCAGCTCGAAACGTCGTCGGAAGTAAAATAAAAAAAATGAAAACATAAGGGATTATATATTCCTTGAAGAAACCATATATAAGAACATTGAGTGCCATTGAAAAGTACTACTGCAGTAAATAAATATACACACTATTTACGAAGTTTTAGGTGGATATTAATAATTTGACAAAAAATTATCTTTACCAAGGACTATGTCATATAATATTATTAATATCATTAATTCACACTTATACATAAAAAACTGAGAAATAAATGCGTAGTATAAATAAAAAAGAAAATTAAAATACTCATTCCTGGAATTCATTATTTATAGGAACAGAAAGATATAAATTAATACTGAGAAGACTTATCTTCCTTCAAACATTTTCCAGAGAAACGAGATTGTACCTAAACAAATATAACCGCCATTTTAAGTGATGAAATATAGATCTAAAAACTCGAATAACTTTCGTTATTAATGTTTCGAATGGAGAAAACTTTACTTCTACTGCTGACGTTAAAATAATAATAATAATAATAATGTTTAATTTGAATAATCTGAACATTAATTGATTCGTCATTCAAATACACGAAGAAATATAGGGTTAGAAAGCAATGAGAAGTCCATGCTTATCTCACAATTGGGAACATCACCCGAATGAAAATCAAATATTACCTCATTTGGGTACAAATAATTTCATTTGAACTATATTGCACTAATTGTTGAACTCTAACGTTTGATAGTTTATTGGAGAAAAAAAATAATAAACATCAGAAAGATAGAAAAACATGAAAAGAAGAAAATGTGGAGACCATGTGAAGAAGAGGGCTTTCAGCTGAAATCCTCCAAAATCAACTCCTGGACCCGCTAATGCCTCCATCTTACCAAGTAAAACAAATCAATGAAATTAGTAATAATTTAATTGAACTAAAACAACCACGAAATAATAAACGAAAAAACAAAACATAATAATTAGTAATAATACCTCAAAATAATACTAACTATATGTAGGGAACATAGTGATTTCTCGGAGTCTTGTATGATCTTCCATAAATGAGTACAAGATATATGAATTAATATATGAATCTTTCAGTTGACAAAATGACATAACTAACTCCAACTACAATTTTTTTTTAATAAAGGCTTTTTAGTGACATTTCTAGTTGGGAAATTAATAATATATGTACAGACAGTGAGTAAGTTGATTCCAGGGTAGGTGACTGCAGAGTTGAAATATATAACTGTGAACAAAGGTATACATTTTCCCAATAGAAACATCACTAAAATTAATAATACAAATTTTTGAAATTGGGTGTATTTCATATTATACAAGACGATATGATTCATTTAAACCTAGTTTTAACTTTCTTTATTTTAATTACTGGACCAGTTTGATATTATTTAATTTATTTTTTTTAAATAATATTAAATACTCTTTGGCATCGATTGTTTTATGGTTCGCTCAATTTACCAGAAAAATCAAAGAATTTCGTAGAATCACGCCGAACTCACATTTTAAATTTTATTGATGATTTTATTATTTGCGATATTATTTCTAATGTTTATCATTATGTCAATCTACTCATAATGACTACTAACAAGGTTTGAAAATTATGATATTATTAATAAATTGAAGAGAAGGATGATCAGTTAAAAT